CACAGACAACCTCTCGTCAATATGCGTTTTTCGCATTGCATTGCTGCAAAAAACGCATAATAAGAATTAAAATTAAAATTAAAAAGTACGATTTTTTTTCAAAAGATCCAGCAGTGCTAACGGTTTGTGCATTGGCATCAGACGTGACAGAGATGTACAACTGCTCTTGCGAATGCGCCATATCGAACATTCTCGAAATAATACCCAGGCTGGGACGCATCAGGCGTGCCGGTGCGATCATGCGTTTTTGCACTAAACTCACGATTCGCTAGTAGCAAGAATAATTCCTGCCCTGCAGCTAAACACTTGAGCTCAGATTGGTCATGCTTTGGTTTCTTTCGACATGCAGCAGAGTGGGGCGTCGATTGGGATGAGGGTGTTGCGTTATAGAGCCGTATGGGCCTGCAGATACATGATCACCAGTTTTTTACATGAAGCTCCGTCATTTTTTCGGTAAATGCTAGCTTTTTGAAAAAATAAAAGTGCAGATTTTTTGAAAAAATGCAAATTTCCAGTTCACTAAAAAGTGGAAGTATTGCTCGGGTCGTTTGTAAAAGAATCCAAGTATGCAAATGAACTAGTCCTCATTTACATATTTGGACGAGGACGGTCATTCGCTGCAAAACGCACTCATTTCTGATTTTTCGCGAAGAGTATTTCTCACGCCTACCTGGAGGGAATTCTACCTTTAAGCAGAATCAAGATCGCACTTGAAAGTAGAATATCGCGGCGAATTTTCAGCCTTGCAGCTTATCCGGCAAGCAAAATATCCAATTCGCCACAAATATCTTTGAACTGCCCTAAGCAGTGGCGCAAATGCAAATCGGTACTCATTTTAGGTATACTATTTTCTATATGAGAGAAAAACATCCTGAAAAAATTTCAGCCATTGTTTTCTGACAAGTTTTTGAGTTAGCACGGTACCAAGTCGCAATCTTTGACGTGATCGTACGCGCTGTACAAACGTGCACGGCAGCTGAATTTGAAACCTTTAGCTCGCACATACGCAAACAATATTCCTGCAAAGTTTAAGCCTCGTACCTTGCCTGGTTCGCTAAATCGCTTCCTGCCAAAGAAATATGCATATTTTTTGAGGAGTCCGTACACTGGGTCTAGGCGCGTTTCGAGGATCTTAGAACGGGAGGGTGACACACGGGATAGGAACATGTACCCGAAATTTCACCCTCTCCGCTTTCCTGGTTGCTAAGATGAAAGTGGGTGACAAAGCCGCTTTCGCACACATACCCGCACACACAGACAATCTCTCGACAATATGCGTTTTTTTTTTTTTATCTCTCGACAATATGCGATTTTTAATTTTTATGTTTTTGTTGTGCAGCGCTATAGCGCTGCACAACAAAAACATAAAAATT